GTTGAGGCAAATGTTGTTTTGTTTATTCTTCTGCATAACATATATTTGTTGGGAAAATTTTCGAAATGCCCCTGAAGTTTGCGTTTATTTGCGGTGTTCCCCTCTGACGGCCGACTTACCTTGTCGCTCCCCTCTGACAACGAACGATGTTTCCAGAAAACCCCTGGCGTCGTTTGGTCCTGAAACATGTTTCATATGCCCCTACCGGTACCGGTACCAAATTTGCAGTATGCCCCTACCGGCTGGCCGTTGAGAACCAGCAGAAAAGTTTCCCATATGCCCTTGCCGGTACGGCGGTACGGTCCATCTTTCCAGGAAGGCCCTGTTGCTGTTGTTGACACTCTTTCCAGTCGTTGGACAACACTATAAGATTTCGAGTGTATCTAACGGTATAATCCGTCGAGATGCATCCACCATTCCCACAACTTCGACACGGAAATGGCGAGTGTCCCTAACAGTGGAATCCAGAAGTTCAATACGGAAAGGTCGACAATTGAGGAGGAGGAGAGGGAGGGGTGAAGAGAAGAAAGTTGGAGGAGGGAGGAACGGCCGAAGAGGAGGGAAGAGGAACATTTTGAGTGTATCTAGTGGTAGAATTTGTCCAGATACATCCGCCATTTCCACAAGTGCAATACGAAAATGGATCCAGAAGTTGAATACGGAAAGGTCTACAATCGAGGAGAAGGAGAGGGAGGGGTGACGAGGACAAAGTTGGAGGAGGGAGGAACAAGGGAAGAGCAGGGAAGACGAGTAGGGAGGACAAGGACTGTGACGAGGATGGATGAGGATAGAGGATGGAGGTTGGACGAGAAGAGAGGAGAGGGACGGGCATGGGTGGAGGAGGAGGGAGGAGGGTGATGAGCATGGACACACACACACGCGGGCACGCTGACCTTCGCACAGCAGGCGTATCCACTCCGACACAGCGATCCCCGGCGCTGCGAACTCGAAGACTAACTGCTGCACCGTTTTTCCGTGGCGGCGCGCGAAGTACATACCACTTTGAATTTGAATTCCGGCCGCCACTGGTGGAAGGGCATCACAGAAAGATGAGTGCCCCTCGTGAGGGCATCTCAAGCACTGACCGACGAAACGCCACCGGCGGTCCAGTAAGGGCATATCGGAAACTTGCGCCCCATGCTGACAGGGGCCTGTGGAAAATTTCAGAGGCCCGAGGGGCACAACAGGGTAAGTCGGCCTTCAGAGGGGCACGCCGCAAATAAACGCAAACTTCAGAGGCATTTCGAAAATTTTCCCATATTTGTTTCAGATTTTTTGGAATTCGTTTCTTTTTTTTTTCTGGCCCTGCGTTTGGCCGAACGGCCGAAAGCGTCGAGAGGGGGTGCCGAACGCTTGGGCGTTCGGGTTCGGGCATTCGGCCCGTCCTGAACGCCAGTATATATATAACACAATACATGTTATAGCTCAGCGTAGGTCAACTGGTTGACTTCTCAGGGAGTCAAAGAACTGTATTGGTTCTACCAGACTGCACAGCAGATACTACATTTTTTTTTCCCGAATCCGGACAGCATTTAAAAAAAAAAAAGTTCATGTGTCACACAACCTAAAATCTTGAAGAACATGATCGCCGGAAGTCGAGGGTTTCTGGGTTCAGTCAATCTAAACTCAGACCAACGAAACAGCGTGCACGGGTGGCCTGTGCCTCCTTTAGGGAGAGGAGGCCTTGCGCTGGTGGAATGAGAGCGAAAAGCTGAAAGCTCAGGGAAAAAGCAAAACCAAAAAAACAAAGGGTAGCTGTATAGCCGGGGGATGCCAAGTGTCACGAGTAGAACTGTTACAGCACTTTGGGAGAGAAAATGAAGCTGCTTTGCTCTGCACAGCCATCGGATCAGGCGAGTTCATTTCACTATTTTTCAGTTTATTCATTCGAGGACCTTCATATCTCCAAATCTGTCATCACTTGGCTTCTTCATTTTTCTCATTTCCTCATCTCTCTTAATGTATGTGATAATAATCATGAGTGGTAGACACTGAGGTAGGATCGTGGGGCTGGGGGTGCGCCAGAGAGGAATAATGAAAGTGGTAGGTTGGGTGGGAGTCTCATAAAGGACTACCTTCTTCCCCCGAATATAACGTACGGTCATTATTGTTGTATTTAGAGGGAAAGATATCCCAAATACAGCTATAATCACCGTACCTTGTATTGGGGTGAAGGTAGGGACCTCTCCCCCCCCCCCCCCCTCTCTCTCTCTCTCTCTCTCTCTCTCTCTCTCTCTCTCTCTCTCTCTCTCTCTCTCTCTCACACACACACACACACACACACACACACACACACACACACACACACACACACACACACACACACAGTCCCCAGCCCACACCCCTGCGCCCTGCGCAAACGCTTCAAACACGTTTAGCCGTGTTCAATGAATGCGCATTCAACGCGTTCAAAACAAGAACGTGAAACGCGCGTTCATTGAACGCGCGGCAACACAGGTGACATTTGGCGGCGTCCCATAGCCGTACCTCTATCCTATAGGCTATTAGTGGAACCGTTACGATGGAACCTCAAAATAACTCCCTTTCTTCTTTGGTTCATCAACTAGGCTATATTCTTCTCTCAAATTCTTTCACTACCTCCCTACCACTACTCCTAAGCCTATACAGGTAAAGCACCCCAAGGTCGTGGGAGAGGAGAGGGGGGGGGGGGGGGGCAAAAGAAAACAAAGAAAAAGAAGTGTCTTTGTGCCACCATAAAATCTGACCATGCAAGAGGGAAATGCCTGCAGTCAGTGCAGTGGGGTTTAGAGAAGATAAAGCAATACAAGGCCTGAACCTGCAAAAACGAACTCTCTACTCGTATACCTTTGACGCTGCATGGCAGGCATTATAGCTGCAGTGCGGTAGGAAATACCTGCAGTGGGTTCGAGGCGATGAAACAACAACACAAGCCTGATCCTGCCAGGTCCTCTTTGTCCGTGAGGCTGGAGATGCCTGCTGAAGGTTGGTAGGGGAGATGACATTGAAGTAACAACAAGGTCTAAGCAAGCCTTTAATCTGTGAGGATACGGTTGTATCTATGGGACGCTGGACCCGGTTTCCAGCAGGTGTTGCTCCCCACCAATAGATGGAGCTTGTGTGTAAAAAAAAAAAAAAAAAAAAAAAAAAAAGGTCTAAGCAAGCCTTAGGGCTGTCTGATACGAGATGGAGCGTTGGCAATCTCTCCAATAGACTCGTGACTATGGCGGCATTTCGTTCCTGCTGCTTGTTGGGTTGGGACTGACATTGGATTTTTTAATAGACATGCATGAGGGTTCACAGCGACCCTGCATGTCATTGGGTGTTGTTTGATTCGTCCTGGTAATTGGAAATGGAACTGGATTATGGAATGTCTATGTGGTGGTCGCAGCTACACTGAAAAAAGTTTGCGACACCGAGCTGGGGATCGTCACTCAGTGTATTGACGTGTCAAAGACCCGCCAAGTTGGCTCACGAAGAGAGCAGTATTTTGCAAATGTCGGCTTGAAGGTGAATGCAAAGGTGAGCAAGGTTTGTCTATAAAAAAACACACAAAAAAAAGGGGTTGTCTCATAACTCATAATAACGAGAGGTCATCGGTTCAACTTGAAATCCTGTTTGACATAACAAAACTACGTGCTTCCACATTCAATGACTTAATATACAGTAGTTATACAACTTATACTGGATATCGAAAGATTTTTTTGTTTGAGCTGAGCTAAAAATTGGACTCCATGACAAGTGTTGAAAGCTGGAACCATAGATTCTAAGCCTTTCTTCTTCGTGTTTTTCTTTTTTTTGGCTTTTGGTAGCAGCCACTTTCTGGAGGGGAAGAACCATCCACTTTGTAAACACTAAGGATAGCCTTTTTCACTCCTAGTTTCCTCCTTTTTACGTTGGTCGAATTACTCATGTTGTCTGTCGGGAAGGGGTACTCTTCCACTTCTCCTCCTTTTTTTCCAAATTTACCATCCACTTCGTAAACACTAAGGATAGCCTTTTTCACTGGCATTCATCAGACCTAAGAACTTGAATAGGCAGACAGCCCACCTAAGAACTTGAATAGGCAGACAACCCTCACTTTTCACTCCTAGTTTCCTCCTTTTTATGTTTGTCGAATTACTCATGTTGTCTGACAGTGTCTGGAAGGGGTACTCTCCCACTCCTCCTCCTTTTTTTCCAAAAAACATTCCCTTTTTTTTTAACCAAAAAAATAAGTGCAGCGTTGTGGTAAGCTCATTAATAGGTAATTAACTGACAATACAATCACATTGCACCCAACACACCTAGTAGTCGAGAAACCACATCAGTAGCCAATACAAGTTTGACAAAGAAGTGCATCCTTAAGGCCTACGCTCCATTTTCTTCTGCCTACTCCCCCAATCCTACGATTCCCCTTGCTGTAGATTTCTCTTTGATGACGACTCCTCACTGTCCTCAGCTGAGCGTGTGGATTCATTTCTTACTTCTCTGTCTGTCCTGGGTTGTGGTCTGGGTCTTCAGCTTCATTTCTCAATCCCCATTCTGTCTGAAAGGAAGCCAAGTGAGACATGGGGGGTGGGGGGGAGCCAGGGGTCGCTAGGGATGGGAGGTGGCACAGGGCACTAAGGGTGTAGGGGGTTGTTTGAGTAGTGTAGGGTTCAAGAGCGTTGCAATCTGTTCTTCGGCTAGTGGAGCCATATATTAATAACAACTTCGGGACGTGGAGAAGTGTTGTGAAGGAGTGAAAAGGGATTTTGGCTTTCTTCGTTTTCCCTCAGGATTTGAACTCAGGTCTGCGATCAGCAATTACGGGTTGTGCCGGCCAGCGACATGAGCTGGGCAGAAGGGAATGTTGGCTCTTTGTTTGATTACTTTTCCTTCCATGCATGTGAGTAGCGTCTGTGTGGCACAAATCATTTCTCAGCTATCGTTTTCCAATTGATGAGGCTGTAGAATATGGTGCGACTGCTACGCGTTTTCTAGCATCGTATGGAAACCGCTGTTGACGGACTTGGAGTCCCTTCATGACTGCCAAGACGTGGCAGCTCGGTTGGTTAGAGCTCTTGCTGGGGAGGTTGTGGGTCTGATTTTGTTGGCCCTCGACCTGCCCTGCGTACAATCAGCTGGTGCCAGGTTGGCATCCCATGTACTTGTCCCCCAGCCTACCGTCTTCACCCGAATAGAACGCCCGGTCCATATAGCTGCATTTGGCCCAGCTTTCAGTCCAGATGCAGCGATAATGACCAGGTGTTCTATTCGGGTGAAGACGGTTGTACTCCCATATGTAGACCAGTTGATGTAGTAGCTCAGTAGGTTGAGCTAGCGTGCTGTAATGACCAGGTTCAGGGTTCGATTCTGATCGGTCTGGCATCGCATGGTGCAAAGATAACTGGGGTACAGGGTAGGGATATAGTGGAGTGGATGATCACGTAGTTGGTTACCTTAGGGTCTTGCTTTGGGGAGGCAGGACTGCAGGTGGGATGGGGATGGGAGGTCCTAACAGCAGGCGCCCTCAGGGGTTAGTGGGTATTGTCTGCTTCCCAAGTACAACTACAGCTACAACTACTGGAGGGGTCTAGTTCATGACCGAGGTATGGGGAGGTATGGGGATGGATGGTGGCCGTGTACCTGGTGATGACTGAGCCTCGGGTACCTCCAGATGACAGACAACTAATAACGACCAGAAAAACAATAACAACAATGGCGCAACCATAAGCGAGGAACCGGGAGAGGTCTTGTGGATGATTTAAGGGCACTGTGGAGGAGCGGCTTAGGGTCTTGCTTTGGGGGGCGCAGGACCGCAGGCGAGATAGGGATGAGAGGTCCTAACAGTAGGGGCTCCGAGTCTCAGGGTTAGTGGGTAGTGGTGGGTATTGTCTGCTTCCCAGCTACAACTACAACTACTCGAGGGGTCTAGTTCATGACTGAGCTATGGGGGTGGATGGTGGCCGTGTACCTACTGATGACTCAGGCTCGGGGTACCTCCAGACGGTAGACAACCAATAACGACCAGAAGAAGAACAACAACAACAAGAGGGTTCTTGTGGGTGATTAAGGAAGAGGAGCGGATGGTGGCAGCACATGTACCGATGATAGGCCAGATCCTCTAGGGTCACAATCAGAACAACAGCAGTGCAACAACTGTCTCTTATACACATCTAGATGTGTATAAGAGACAGGGCTCGGGGTACCTCCAGACGGTAGACAACCAATAACGACCAGAAGAAGAACAACAACAACAAGAGGGTTCTTGTGGGTGATTAAGGAAGAGGAGCGGATGGTGGCAGCACATGTACCGATGATAGGCCAGATCCTCTAGGGTCACAATCAGAACAACAGCAGTGCAACAACGACCGGAGAGGGGTCTCGTGAACACTTGTTCAGGGGGGGGGGGAGGATGGTAGTTGTCCACCTACTGGCGATGGACTAGAACAGCTATGCTACTGTCTCTTATACACATCTAGATGTGTATAACTGGGAGGGGGGGTGCGATGCGTAGATTTGATGCCTAGAAGGGTGGGTGGTGACCCCGTGGGTCTCATAAGAGGGGTGGGACCTCCCCTTCCCAGTAAAAAAGGGGAAAAAAAGAAAAGGACTCACCTCCCTTCACACTAGGTCTGAAAACATCAATGGAAATGGTGCCGGCTTTCTGCTTTGGTTGTGCAGATGGGGGGCATCAATAGTCTTCTGGAGGCAGGGGCAATGAAAAAGTATACAGAGACGCCAACAATCCTAATCGGAATGGATGTGTCACATGGCTCAGCCATGGAGAGAGACAGCTTTTCTATCGCGGCGGTAAGCTGAGTTTATCATTTTTGTTCCCCCCTTCAGAAATAAATATGCCCACGTGTGATCTCAGCTTATAGCCTTAAAAATTACCTTGTTATCCCATGTGTGATTCAATTTTCAAAAATTTCGACCTTCAAAAAACTCAAACCCAACTTCCGGCCTTTGCCTCTCTTCCACTCTGGTGTCTGAGCATCTCCATGTGCTGTAACTCAGTGAGCAGTACTAAGGTCTGAACATTTTTGAAACGCAATAAAAAAAAAAAAGATCTGCAAAAGAACTACAACGGTAGTACAGCCTTTTTTTTTTTTTTTTTTTTTAACTTGGCCCGGTTTGGGTCATTGAAATGAAATTACATCAGAATTTCAGAATTCATTTGTGTGGGCAATGAGTCGTTATATAATCATCTTTAAGTTTCTTTTCTTTTCCTTTTTGCCAATAAATTAAAAGCATTATGGCATCTGCCTTCGATTTTAGTTATGGCCATCATCCCTCAAGAGTCAAAACTATCATAATGATTAATATACTTAAACCACCAGTACCTCGCTCAGCTATTGAATCCGAGCCTCCCAGCACGCTGCGCGCCAAGTCCTGCCGAACCGCCATCGCAATTTTCTTTTTCGTTTTGCCTGCGGCCTCCAGCCAATGCGGTCCGGCAGGCCGAAGCCCAAATGGCGCGGCGTGTATACGGGAAGCGCCGCGGCCGATAGCTGGGCCAGGTACTGGTGGTTTAATATATGGGTATGTCTGAACGAACAAGCAGATGCATTATGGTTTCCTTTTCTTTTTTTTGCCACCCCTTGGGTTATTGGGTACTCCAAGGATTCTTTTTTTTTTTTTTTTTAAAGAAAAGAGGGCCCAGTGCCCAAGGCTGATATTACCAATAAGAGGAATGAGGCCGGGGTCCTCACAGTCTGCCCGGAGAAACAAAACCGAATTTGTGAGAACCAAGCTCAGCGTCCCTCATGTGGTGACTATGATGATGATGATCCTGATGATGATGATGATGATCCTGATGATGATGATGATACTACTGATGATGATGCTGATGGAGATACAAAATTGTATTAACTGTAGTAAGCTATGCTATATCAACACTTCTGGTCTCCTAATCCTAGAGCAACTTCTAGCCCTCCCTGTACCAGGACATTGTAAAACAGAGACAATACCAACCTAACCAATGTCACCCATAGCTGATCTCTCCTCGCCACAGAGCAGCCCCCCCCGGTTCGCCAATGGATTGCCTTCCCCCCTCGGCAACCCCCAGATCTCTCTACAAGGCCTCACGCTCCTGCCTGTGCAGGTTACAGGGCAATGCCCCAGCGCCGGCCAGCGTCATTCTGGCGTCGGCAAAACAGGGGCACAGAAAAGAACAACTCTGCAGATATCGGTCCGGGTTCGACCATCCCTGAAATCCTATATCCCGGATGTGGAGGAAAACTCGATGCTGCCCAAAAGTTCCAGAACACCAGAAAGCTTAATATAACATTGATGAGATAATGATACTAATGATGATGATGATATTGATGAAGATGATTATGCTTTTTTTTTTTTTGAGAATTCTAAAGAAATTGACTGCACCACCTTTATTAGATCTAAAGGATTGTGAATAGTAAGCTATATCAGCTATTCCGGCTTCCTAATCCGAGAGCAACTCCTAGCCCTCCCTATACTGGGACACTGCTACTCAAAGACAGTACCCACGAAAACAACATCAACCATAGTTGACCTCTTCTCGCCCCCGAGACTATCCCCGGCCCCAGAGGGTGTCAAGGCGGCCCCCCCGATTCGCCACTGGATTGCCTTCCTCCCTCGGCAAACCCCAGATCTCTCTACAAGGCCTCGCGCTCCTGCCGTGGCAGGTTACAGGGTAACACCCCCGCTCCGGCCAGCGTCGTTTTGGCATTGGCAAGTTGAGAGCATAGAACAGAGCAACCCTATTGATGTCAGTCCAGGTGCAACCATCTCTGAGGTCGAAGATCCTAATAAAGAAGAAGACCCGATGCTGCTCTAGCTCTCAGAACCCCAGAANCGCAGCGGCAATGGAGCAAAACGTGGAACTCCTAGAAACTGAACGCCACCAAGAGTCAGACCACCTGCCACATCAACTTGTGAGATGGTGTGGTCCTGTCTCTTATACACATCTGAACAGACCCCCTCCTTCCCCCTTCCGCAAAGGCAGCCAATTCTCTCCTAGAGGATACCTTCGCCATCCCCTTATCCCTATCTGCCCCCGCCGGGGTTGAAGGCGACCAACTCTCCCTCTCCCACCCCGGCCCCAGACAAGGACAAACCACAAATCTGCCCCACCCCCGACAGAGCAGCCACCTCCCACCTTGCAGCGCCCCTGTAGAGTAGGGCTCCCTAATGTCCCCCCACCCATTCCCCAAAAATCCCCACCGTGACCGCAGAAGCCCTAGCCCGAGATCAAATGAAGCAGTCAATTATCCTCAATGAGGATCTCATGATGGAATACATGAAAAGGTAGATGAGATTTTTGGATTTTGCTGATGACGATGAACAACACCCTGAAGATGATGATGATGAGTATGATGGTGACGACCAACTCACATGCTGTTTGAAAACAAACTGATGATGATGATGATAATGGTGAGGATGAAGACAGAATGATGATGCTGATCATAGTAACGAGCAGCACCAACAGCCCCTATGATTACAAACTAATGATGATGATGATGATGATGTCGGTAATGATGATGATGATGATGATGGCTGATGCTGATGATGATGACGCTGACACACAGCGTCCTGTGATGACAACAGGATGATGATGGTGGTGAGGGTGAGCATCACTAATGATGATGATTTGATGATAACGATGATGATAGCGGTGATGGCGAGCATCACTAATGATGATGATCTGATTATGACGATGATGATGATGATGATGATGATGATGATGATGATGATGATGATGATGATGATGATGACGCACAGCGCCCTGTGATGACCAAAGGATGATGATGGTATTGATGACTACCACCTTTGATGATAACCTGATGATGATGATGATGATGATGATGATGATGATGATGATGATGGCGCAAATGATGGTGTTGATGACGAGCACCTTTGATGATAGTACCCTGATGACGATGATGGTGGTGACGAGCGGCACCCTGATGATGATGACGAAACATTATCGTAGTGACGATGTCGATGATGATGATGAACCACGCCCTGTCGATGATGCTGATGATGATGATGATGACAAGCAGCACCCTGACGATGATGATGCTAGCAAACCTTGATGATGATGATGACGAACATCAGCTTGATGACAAACTGCACCCCGGATAACCTCGTTGTGATGGCGATAACAGTGTTGAGTGTACTTGATAACACGTCCAAGCTGCGCCCCTGATGACAAAAGCAGTAGTGATAGTGATGGCAAGGATAATGGCGAGCAGTACCCCAATGGCCGGCCGTTACTGTAATCACTCACACTTCGGGGTACCTAGGGCTAACTCCACTGTACTCCACATACATCGACAAAGCCGACGCCTCTCAGGCCGAAAGCCACGTGCAGCAACGCAGCGGCAATGGAGCAAAACGTGGAACTCCTAGAAACTGAACGCCACCAAGAGTCAGACCACCTGCCACATCAACTTGTGAGATGGTGTGGTCAAGCGCCTGCGGTCTCCTGCGCGTGCGCTAAGCGCCAGGACTTCAAAAAAGGCCGTCATCGCCGCCTTGGCCATCTCCAGGAACACGTAGTGTCGGGCGGGGCGCAGCGCTCCCGGTAGGATTCAATAAGTTATTTATTACTGCATATTGAAGAATGGCAGAAGTACGGGTATAATTGGGGACAAGAGGGGTCATCGGATAAACTTTAAGGAGTGTGTGTTGAAGAAACGCGGATGCACGGGAAGTAGAGGGAAGAAAAGGGGAAGCAGAGAAAAAATGGAAAAAAGAGCCAACTATGGGCCTTGCTCCACTACTCTCGAAATGTGCAAAATGAGGATGAATTTTCCTCTAGAAGTTGGAGATATACACCGCCATATTTTATGTCGTTTGTGCATGTAGAGAGTAGTGGAGCGAGGCCCTACTATGTCTCTAACGGAAAGCAGTTCCAGATAGGACTAAAAAAATTCAAAAAACATGTACCTGCAGGTTAGTCGCTGCCAAGTTTTAAAAAGGCAATAAAAGAGGCGTCATAACCACAGGGGCGGCCAGTGCCTCAGTTAAAAAACAGCCCAAAAAAGGACCCCTCTATTTTCGCTTCAAGTTTCTTGAAGTTTTTTTGTGCATTCCAAACTGCCTCTGCCAGAAAACTGCATGACATTGTAGTCTTCTCTTTCTCCTATCGGGGGCCAAGTCCCACTAGCAGCGTTGAGCTACGGCAACGCCTGAATCTGGACGTGTTTGTGGAGACGTGCAGTTGAGGAAACTCAACACCATTTTTGCACATCTCCTCAAAAGCATCCAGATTCAGGCGTTAAGGTAGCTCAACGCTGCTGCCCGCTCACCGACGTGTGTGAGAGAGAGAGGGAGAGAGAGAGAGAGTTGTACGCGGGGGCGGTCATGGTTGGAGAGATAGAGAAGGCTGAGCAAAATCGGAATGAATCTTGGGCTAGAAACTGAAAATATACACTGCCACTTTCGTGTGTGAGAGTCACAGAGAGAGAGAGAGAGAGAGAGAGAGAGAGAGAGAGAGAGAGAGAGAGAGAGAGAGAGAGAGAGAGAGAGAGAGAGAGAGGATTGGAACCATACAGGGAAGATTAGCATGTCCAAAAAAAAAACGGTGCGAATGTATCTGGCAGAGACAATGGACCAGATACATTCGCACTTTGGTGTGCCCAGCAGCAGACACACAGAGAGAGAGAGAGAGAGAGAGAGAGAGAGAGAGAGAGAGAGAGAGAGAGAGAGAATGGGGCTAGTGTTTCCTGTACGGACAAAGTGGGATCCTTCTCCGGCCCGATCCCATTCCCACCAGAAGCCACAAAGGGGAAAAAAAAAAAGAAAAGGGCCTGCTACCGGTACCTGTTAGGCCAGGCCACCTCCCGTTTTTGCCGCGTTTTTGCCGATTATCGAACCGGTAGGCCGTCTAAAGCGCAGTTCACTGTTTTTTTTGCTGTTTCGAAATGCTTACGGCCCAAGCTTGCAGTGGACTGTTATTTCTGCGAATTCTGAACTGTGCAGCGGTCACAGGTGCAGTTTTTTCTTTCTTATGTTATAAATGGCACTGGAAATTCTCTGAAAATTCAGACCCCCTTAACTATCGGTTGCCAGTTAGTGTGGAGAGATCACTCTCCATCATCTCTTTTCACATCACAATACACGGGCCTCGAAAAATAGGCTCTGCAGGAGGAAGTGAAAGGTGTGGATCTCTTTGGCTGTGGGTTACACACACGCACACACACACACACACACACACACACGCGCACACACACACACGCGTGCAGACACTGATGAGCACACGCATGCACACGTGCACACATGCTCCCCGACACACACACTCGCACACACGAGCACACACACGAGCACACACACAAGCACACACACAAGCACACACACAAGCGCGCACACATGCATGCACACAAGCATACACACTTTATCTCCATGCTAGATGGAGCTCTTATGCACGTGCATGCACACACGCACACACAAAAACGTGGCCAACCTTCCGTCTTCTATCAAATTGCCTATCTAGTATCTATACCTTCCTTGTTTTATGGATGGTTTGTGGATGATACACACAAAGAGGACATCTGATTCCTTGGAGGTCAGACTTCATTGTTTCTCCTGTTCTTTTTTCGAGTGGATTTCACTAGAACTCTGAAAACAACAGGAGAGGGCCTTCCTGTCTTATGAATTGTAATTGGTTGGTTAACAGGTGGTGGGATCGAAGGATTGGCCGACGCTGAGCAGGTATTCCTGCAGAACGAGGTCCCAGACTTCTCGTCTTGAGACAATTGTTGGGCTCTATGAGGAGGTGCACACTGCGAATGGTCGCATCGAGCGAGGAGGGATGCTGAAGTAAGGAAAAAAATTAGCAAATCAAATTTGAAGTAGTTCAACCTCTCACGTGCAAACTGAAAAAGGCATTATCCTGCTCATGTCAACTCATCGTCAGGCCATGCTCACGGGCAGTTAAAAAAAAAAAAAA